TTTCTTTCTTTCTTTCTTTCTTTCTTTCTTTCTTTCTTTCTTTCTTTTCTTTCTCTTTCCTGCCTTCTAGTGGACTGATAAATGTTTTAACAATCCTTCCCCATGCCCTGCACCAATACTGATCTGAAAGTAATCTTTATATTACTTATACTTTTAGTTATTACCCTTACATTGTTAACATGATTAGTTGGCTAAAAATTATTATGAGTTAACAAGAATGTTTCTCTACCCTCTTCCTGGGTGGTAAAGGATCTTAGGAAGTTTCACATGAATTCTCCTTTATTTTCCATCTTATGTGTTGGGATTGTCCTGCATTTGGATTTTACCCTATGTTTATACCCCTACGTGTTCATTATTATTGTTTACATAGTTAATCTTGATTTAGATTTTTCTCCCACTTGCCATTCTCTTTTCTCACATTACTTCTTGTGATGTGTTTCTCCTTTCTGGATTTTGCCTCCTTCTTCCTGCATTTTATCTTTTAGCGGGGCTCTTAAAGTGCTTTGTACATAGGATCCTCAATAAATATTTATTAAATAAATTAACTTAATCAAATGCAATAGTTTAGACTACACTAGGTGTCTAGTTTGTATATTAGGGTGATCGGTAGATCTTGCCTCATTTATCAGACCGCTAGATAATCAGACACTTGATTATTAGGGATGGGGGACAGAGCACATTACCTGGTTTTTGTTAATACCATGAATCAAGAGTGGGATAGAGAGCACCCAGGGCCTTAGCACTCTCCACTCTTCCTTAGTATGTTTCTCTAGAATTCTTTTTTTTTTAAGTTTTCTTTTTTAACATTTATTTTTGAGACAGAGAGAGGTAGAGAATGAGCAGGGGAGGGGGAGAGAGAGAGAGAGATACAGAATCTGAAGCAGGCTCCAGGCTCTGAGCTGTTTGTTAGCACAGAGCCCGACGCGGAGCTTGAACTCACAAACTGCAAAACCATGACCTGAGTTGAAGTTGGACGCTCAACCGGCTGAGCCACCCAGGCACCCCTCTCTAGAGTTCTTTCTAAATCTAGTGCCACTGTTTTCCAGCATAAGCTTCTGGCCTCCATTTTCTTCTTTCCTACTTGGACCAGACACTTGCCCCATCTGAGAAAGCCACATGGAAAGCAGCTTCCTCCTAGGGCAGAGGTACCTACTGGCTAAGTGTGTAGGGCCCAGGTCAGATGAGCAGGGATTTCATTCCCTCTCTAGCACTTATTAGGCAAGTTAACTGACCACTCTTTGACTCAGCTATCTCATCTGTAAAATAAGGATAGTAATGCAATTATATCCACACTTTGTTGTGAGACTTGAATGGGTTAATAATATACATTCGAACAGTGCTAACACCTGTTAAGTACAACCTTAAGTACGGTTGTTGTTGTTGCCTGTGCCACTTCTCAGCTCCCTCCACCCCTTCACTGGCTCTGGATGCTGAGAGTGAATATGATTGTTCAGTTTGGAGTCTCATGTAGGTCCATGATGATAGAACATACAGACATGCAGACAACCAAGGGGTTTCATATAAGATATGTATTCAGGTTTTCCTCTGTGCTTTAAACAAAGCTGTCCCAAGCATCGTATCCTACATAAAGCTATATTTTCTTTAAGGGTTAAATTTTGAGGGAAAATTCTCATTGTAGGTTCAACTTGATTCCAAAAATTGATTCATTTATTGATTGATTCAATAAGTATTATTCAAGGCCCAATACTAATAGCTATAGGCCCCAAACCATTCTTTTTTTTTTTTTTTAATGGTTATTTATTTATTTTGAGAGAAAGAGAGAGAGCACACAAACAGAGGAGGGGCAGAGAGAGGAAGAGAGAGAATCCCAAGCAGGCTCTGTGCTGAGAGTGGTGCTTGATTCCATGAACTATGAGATCATGACCTGAGGCAAAATCCAGACACTTAACTGACTGAGCCACCAAGGTGCCCCTGGCCCCAAACCATTCTTACTTATAATTTGAATCCATTGTCATAATGTGTTGAATCATATTTAACTTTTTTATTTGATGAGTGGGACACCCACATAGGTGTGGTAATAGTTATATTAAACATAAATACATAATTTCTTTGATTCTTCTAGTATGTAAAGAATTCCTGAACCGATTCTATAACTCCCTGATAGCCAGAGGAGTCAACTTTTCCCTGGACACCATAGAAAAGGAATTGGTCAGCTTTTGCTTGGATGTCAAAGGAAAAGAAAACCGCCTGGTATGGTACATTTTCACCTTTCATTTTTCCCTTATGCTTGAAGAAAAGTGTTAATGGCTTCGTTTCTCATCTTAGTCTTAATGTCTCCTGCTTAGATGCTTGCCTCAAGGATGTTCACTGTAGATAGCAAGCAGAAATTGGTCTTCCAGTGAAGTGTACTCATGTATTTTCATCTAGAACATATCTGGTTTCATTTTGCTTTCTGAATAAACCATAGGCAACCAGTTCCACGTTTTAAGTAAATTCACACAAATTCCTAATGACAAATTTCTGTCCTGGGTTGAGTGGGTAGACTTTCTCTTTCTTATCAAGACTATTACAGGGGTGCCTGGGTGGCTCAGTCGGTTGGGCACCCAACTTCGGCTCAGGTCATGGTCTCACAGTTTGTGGCTTCGAGCCCTGTGTCAGGCTCTGTGCTGACAGCTTGGAGCCTGGAGCCTGCTTCGGATTCTGTGTCTCCCTCCCTCTCTGTTCCTCCCCTGCTCATGCTCTGTCTCTCTCTCTCTCCTTCAAAAATAAATAAAAACATTTAAAAAAATTGAAAAAAAAAAGACTATTAGTGAAACCTATCAAAACATTTTTATAACATCATTCATAACTAATTTTTTTTTTAATTTTTTTTCAACGTTTATTTATTTTTGGGACAGAGAGAGACAGAGCACGAACGGGGGAGGGGCAGAGAGAGAGGGAGACACAGAATCGGAAACAGGCTCCAGGCTCTGAGCCATCAGCCCAGAGCCCGACGCGGGGCTCGAACTCACGGACCGCGAGATCGCGACCTGGCTGAAGTCGGACGCTCAACTGACTGCGCCACCCAGGCGCCCCTTTAACTAATTCTTTATATTATTTTATAATGGTGTTTTCTGAGTATACAAAGATGACTTATTTCAACATAGTGTTTCACTTCACTACAGATAATTGTAGGCCAATCCATTTCGCCTAGAATTTTCGTGTTCAATTTGTCAGTTAAATCTGCATTATTGACTGTTCACCACTGACACATTGTAAACCTCTCACCATTTGTTTGTACCATTAAGTTTCATATTTTTTTTAAATTTTTTTTTTCAACGTTTTTTATTTCTTTTTGGGACAGAGAGAGACAGAGCATGAATGGGGGAGGGGCAGAGAGAGAGGGAGACACAGAATCGGAAACGGGCTCCAGGCTCTGAGCCATCAGCCCAGAGCCCGACGCGGGGCTCGAACTCACGGACCGCGAGATCGTGACCTGGCTGAAGTCGGACACTTAACCAACTGCGCCACCCAGGCGCCCCATAAGTTTCATATTTTTAAATGAAAGTGCTTAAGTTGGGCAGCTGGGAAGGCAGCATAGCATGATGGGGAAGGGTATGGACTCTAGAGCCAAAATGGTGGATTTTTCCATTCTGTCTCTTCTGCTTGCCAGCTGGGTGACCTTCAGTTGGCTTGGGTGTAAAATGGAGATAATTATAGTACTTACTTCACAGGATTGTTGTGAGAATTCACTAAGTTAAGACCTTTAAAGCCCCGAGAGCAGTGAGAGCAGCAGCACCTGACACAGAGAAAACACTTAGCAAGTGTCAGCCCTTATTAGTCTTTGAGCATCGTGTGAATCGCAGGGCACTTCTAATTAACATGATCACGGGGATGGAATCGTTTGTTTTTTGGTGTCTTAGTCAGCAGGGGTTAAAATTTAATAGCTGGGCCATGAAAACTAGGTTAACCTCTCTCTCACTTCTCTGAACTATATTAACTTTTTTCCGTCACCCAGCGACACTAAATTATCTTCGTTCTCCGTCAGTGCTATTATCTGGGAGCGACGAGAGATGCAGCCACAAAGATCCTAAGTGAGGTCGCTCGCCCAATGAGCGTGCATATGCCTGCAACAAAGATTTGTGAGAAGCTTAAGAAGATGGACAGCCAGATCTGTGAGCTGAAATATGGTATAATGGAGTCAAATGTATTTTTCCACTATGTCCAAAGCATTGCCAATTCTCTACACCGAGGGCCCTGTTTCTAAAACGTGAATGTGGGAAGAGAAGGCATTCTCCACTGGCCAGTAGGTCGCTGGGCTGCTGGATGGTGCCTAGCGACATCCGAGCTCCTTTGGGGGAACAGAAAGGAGTAAAGCGCAATCAGCACCAGGTAGAACCGCCAACCCAGATAGCAACGTTTAATCTCTTACATCACCAAGGCAAGGCCAACTATGTCTGTCAAGGAAAAATTCAAAATGTAAAGGGAGCAGCTACTCATGGTGATTTAGCTCTTGGTAAGCTATTAAGGCAAAACGTTGCATCGATTCCAAGGTGATGTCAGGACTTTGTGGTTTTAAGTATGACTATGACTTGTTCCCCTAGATTTGTCTGCCATTCTGCCGGGTTTACATTTTAGGAAATAGGTTATTCACATCAAGTCAGGTTTTGCTTGATGAAGTAACCTTATCGAGGGTGCCTAAAATAAACAGTGAAGAACAGAAGAAGATGTCCTATTTAAAACAGTATCCTTGGCCTTATGAATTCCACAGATATAGATCTATTCTTACACAGTACTGAGGATTTGTATCTGGGCCAGCCTTTTGGGTAGACTGAATAGGTGTGATAAAAGCCATCCCTCCCTTAGTCTATCCTTAACACCTGAGATTCTACCAGGCGAGACTCATTTCTTTTGCTTAAGTCATTTTTTTTATGTTGCGTATCCATTGTAGTATTGTAAACTACCTAAGTAATTAGCATCCAACTCTGAATTACCTTAGTCTTATTTTCCAAGATAGCTGTGTAATATGCGTATGCACCATAGCAACATAGCTGGCTTTAACTAGGTTTAAGGTCGGAAGATACCAAAGGCAACCTATTTCTCAATTTTTTTGCCAAGGACAGGCTCTCATCTCCAAGGTAGTGATTATGGGGAAGGCATCCATTTTTATTGGCTTCCAAGTAATGAAGTAGAGGCAGGAATCATTGAGTCCATATAAACAATATTCACAGAAGGGACAAACTATGCTGATTCTTTCATTTGCCAGATGTATTTTGAACAATGTCTGCTATATTCAAGGGATCCTACTTGGCTCCTTGACTAATAGAAAAATCAATCAGATATTATTGAGAAGAAACACATACTTACTAATGTTTTGGCAGTGATGGCCACTAGAGGCCCTTGGGGAGCCATAAACTAGCTTTAATTTTGGGATCAACATTTTCCTTACTGTTTTAGGGTTACAGAGTTTTTCCTGTTTTAAAATTAATGCCAGAAGCCAAGTTCTCTAGAAAAACTCAAAGATACTACTGACACTAGCAAGAAAGTTTTTTCTCCCCCTCAGTCATTTATTTATTTATTTTTTCAATCATTTATTTTGACTGGACTACTAGTTCTAAATTCTCTTTCCCAGCTTATTGTTGGCAGGAAAGTTGAGATTGAACAGGGTCTTTGAATTGTGGGATATTAATAATTTGAGCTATCAAAGCTTCTATGTTTAAAGGTATTTTGTTAAGTCAGCCATGAAATTAACAAACAAGGTAAGTGTAGAGTGGATTATGTTTTCAATTAGAAAGGTGTCATTTGGTTTTTAACCCGAAAGAAGGTTTTTGCTAGCTCTCTCTCTCTCTTTTTTTTTTTTTTTTTTTAAGAATGGGGATCACTATAAAAATATAAGCGTTCTCGGGAGCACAGAGTGTAGCTGACCCTCCAAATAAAAAAAGGTTTGAAAATGTCAGCTTTTATTATTTTATTTTTATTTATTTTTCCACATTTATTGAGACTTAATTGACATAAACATTGTGTAAGTTTAAGGCATATACCATGTTGATTTGAAACACTTACATATTGCAGTATCACCACTGTGTTAGCTAACACCTCCATCATGCCTTACGATAACCATACCTTTTTTGTAATGAGAACATTTAAGATGCACTCTCTTAGTAACTTTCAAGTGTATAATACAATGTTATTAAGATAATTACCACGATGTACATTTTAGATCCCCAGAGTCTGTACCCTTTGGCCAGCCTCTTCGGCCAATTTCTCCACCCCCCAGCCCCTGGTAACCACCATTCTACTCTCTGTTTCTGTTAGTCTGGCTTTTTGACATTCTGTGTATAAGTGATACCACAGAGTTTTTGTCTTTCTCTGTCTTATTTCACCTAGCATAATGTCCTCAAAGTCCATTCATATTGTTGCAAGTAGCAGCATTTCTTTTCTCATGGCTGAATAACACTTCATTGTATGTATATACGTTTGTATCAGACACAGACACAGAGCACATCTTCTTTATCCATTCATCTATTGACACTTAGGTTGTTTCCATATCTTCGCTACTCTGAAAAATGCTGCAATGAACATGAGAGTGCAGATCTCTCTTTCATATCCTGTTTTCATTTCCTTTTGATATATACCTAGAAGTGGGATTGCTGAATCACTTGGTAGTTCTACTTTTAATTTTTAAAGGAACCACCGTACCATTTTCCATAGTGACTGTACTAACTTACACTACCACCAACGGTGATTTTTTCCAAATCATTTCCAATACTTGCTGTCTCTTAGGTTTTTGATGACAGCCATTTTAACAGGTGTGAGGTGAAATCTCATTGTAGTGTTGTTCTGCATGTCCCTTATGATTAGTGACGTTGAGCACCTTATCATGTACCTGTTGGCCATTTGTATGTCTTCTTTGGGAAAACTGTCCATGTCTATTCAGTTCCTCTGCCAATTTTTTTGATCAGATTGTTTACATTTTTTTTTGCTGTAGAGTTGTATGAGTTCTTTATATATTTTGGATAGTCACCCCTTATCACATATATGATTTTCAAATATTTTCTCTCATTCCGTAACTTGCTATTTATTTTGTTGATGGCTTCTTGGCTGTGCAGCAACTTTTTAGTTTGATATGGTCCCACTTACTGATTTTTGCTTTTGTTGTTGTGCTTTGGTGTCATATCCAAAAAATGGCTGCCAAGACCAATATCAAGGAGACTTTCCCTAGGTTTTCTTCCAGGATTTTTATAGTTTCAGATCTGATGTTTAATTCTTCAATCCATTTCAAGTTAATATTCATGAGTGGTGAAAGCCAAGGGTCCAGTTTCATTTTTCTTCATGTGGTTATCCAGTTTTCCAAACACCATTTATCGAAGAGACTATTCTTTCCCCATTGCATATTCTTGGCTCCTTTGTCAAATCTTAGTTGACCGTATATGCAAGGGCTTATTTCTGGGCTTTTGATACTGATGGGATTTTGGAGTGATGGTGGGGATCAGGAGCCAATGGCCCAGAAAGAATTCTTGAGACATCTTTGGTGCAAAAAGGTGATTTTATTAAAGCATGGGGACAGGACCTGTGGGCAGATAGAGCTGCATTGGGGTTGTGAAGAGTGACTGGTTATATACTATGAAGATGGGGGAGGTAAAGTCAAAAGGGAGGCCTCCAGAAAGACGTTGATATGCTAAAGAGGACTCCTAAGATACCTGAGGCTTTGCTATTGTCAAGCTAAGGTTATTTTCCCTCTAGTAAGGCATTAACATTAAGACAGCAGGGAGTTCCTGGAGAAATGTTCTACTCTGTATTTGCTTCAAGTATTTGTCAATGGGCTGCAGGTTATAAAGAAATTTAATGTCATTTATATTTTCTTCTTCTTTGTTCCCCATATCACTGCGGAGGGGAGGGTGATGTTAATGCTCCAGGAAACTGAGTCAGTCTATGGGTTTCTGGAGGCTAAGCTATTGATAAGATTACCTTTTTCTTGTAATTTACTAAGACATCTATAAACTGATGGAGACTCCTGTCCTGTGTCGCATGACTGTGAACTCTATCAGTTAACCACTGGCTTGTTTTTTTGTTTTTTTTTTTTTTTTTGCCTTTGTTCTTGGGCAGCCAGGAGTGCCTGAGGAATATCACGCATATCCCACCGAGGGTGGGGGGGGGACGGGGTATTGTTAGGTAGTGCCCAGTCCTCAGCTTGCCTTATGCTCTCTCATCAATACTACTCCACTGGTATGTGTATGTGTCTGCTTTTATGCCGGTACCACCCTGCTTTATTATAGCTTTGTAGTATGGTTTGGAATCAGGAAGTGTGATGTTTCCAGCTTTGTTCTTTCTGAGGATTGCTTTGGCTAATCTAGGTCTTTAGTGTCTCAGTACAAATTGAGGTTTTTTTTTTTCTTTCTTTCTTTTTTTTTTTTTTTGTGAAAAATGCCAGTGGAATTTTGACAGGGATTGCATTAAATCTGTAGATGGCTTGGGGTAGGATGGGCATTGTAACAATATTAATCTTCTGATCCATGAACATGGGATGTCTTTCCATTTGTGTCCTCTTTAATTTGTTTCATCAAAGTACTGTAGTTTTCAGTGTATAGATCTTTCACCTCCTTGGTTAAATTAATTCCTAAGTATAAAGTCCCACTTTTACACTTGAGCACACTTACTGGAAATTTTTGATAAATCACTTGACCACTATGTTAGGTTGTTAAAAGGCTTTTAAATGCTGTGTTTATTATGCAGGGAAAAAGGAAAGGGCTACTCAAGAGAAGTCAGGCTGTAAAACTCCTGTGCTGCTACCAGTTGTTTAATAAGCAAGCTTAAATGTTGTATCCATGTTCAAGCACATGCCTGTCATGGGGCAGGGGGAAGGGGATTTGCCGCTGGAAGGAAAGAATTTCCTCTTTCTGATGGGGAAATTATGAGTATGTCATAGATGAGCTTATTTTTTTTTCTTTTTCTTTTTGAGTTTGGCAATAGAGAAGTAGTTGAGTTCTTGACATTCTCTGCAGATAGTCTGTAAATGAAAACAGTAGTCTTTCTCCAGGAGTTAGTTGTTGACAAGAGTCGATAGCAAGAAGGTAAGGAACCAGATTGGCCGGCACTAAGGCACTAGCATGGGAGAAGTGGGTATATCCCAAAGGACCGGAAAGGAATGCTGTGATGATTTTGTAATCCCAGTAGGGGCAGAGGACGAGGTGAGTTCAAGCAGAGAACCGAAACAATGAAAGATCAATGAGAATGTTCTTAATTTTATTCACGTGTTTTGGTTTCTTTGCATTCGTATTTAAAAACTCTTAACAGTGCTTTGTAATAGGTGTGCCCGTCTGTTTTAATGCAGACATATCTTCGTACAGAAAGTGAACCGTCACTTTCTAGTGAATTACGACGGAGGGCTTTCGATCGGCCACACTCAAGGCCACCCCAAGTCATTGCAGTTTATCAATCCCCTTCTTTTTTCCTGGGGAAGAACAATTAGGAGGCAGCACAGTGGTTTTAGTAATTACGATCTTGAGAAGCCATGGAGTGGTCGCAAATACTGCAAAGCTACCCACGCCCCTGTCTTGGAGCAAGTTATAATTTCCTGGAGAGCAAGTTTAATAGAACGCAAATGATGCCACTAGCTTTGTAGATAACACATTTTCCTTAGGTAGATCTTGGTTTCCATAGAAATCGGAAGTGTTTCCCACTTTGGAACAAAGGGTAGTCGGCACCAAGATAAGTAACACCACTGGCCTTTCTAGGTGTTTCACAGTTGTTTTGGTTTTTTAAAAACTGTGCTTTCCCCCCCACCCCCCATCCCTTTCTGTCGTTTAGAAAAGCAGCTGGACCTGGCATCAGTGGACCTCTCAAAGATGAGAGTAGCGGAGCTGAAACAGATACTGCGCAGCTGGGGCGAGGAGTGCAGAGCCTGTGCGGAAAAAACCGACTACGTGGATCTGATCACAGAACTGGCCCCCAAGTATGCAGCGGCGCCCCCCAAATCAGAGCTCTGACCCCTGGGCGCCGCCGACGCGCCCTTGATGGGAGACACAGTGACTCTCCAGGATACGGACTTGGGGGTTAGGAGTAACCGGGAGCTGCGCTGTATGTGGTCTCATACTTTTCGTTTTGCTAATACAACCAATCAAGACTTGCTTACGGGGGTTGTAATTAAAATGTAATATCAGTGGCATCTTACATTTGCAGTGTGAGAAAACCTGAAAGTGCCTTTCTCATAATGTTTGGGAGGATTGTGTGTATGTCATCGTCCGTTTCCTTAAAATTGGGAAACGCGAACGACTGAAAAATGGATGAAGTTGAGTCCAAGAAGGAAGACAGTGCCCAGACGTCCCCCCTCTGTGCACTAATTTTTAATTAAATATATTGGTTTACGGTAAAAGAACAATGTTTGGTTTACCTAACTCCCACCTTCAACCCTAAGCAATAACACGGCATAATCAAAAGGCTTTAAAGAGTAAACTGTGTATTTTCAACTGCACAGCAGTCTACATTCTGGCTCTGTTTGGTATCAGATGTGGGAGGGCAGGAGGCACTACTTGAAATGAGGGTTTCCCCAAAGAATACCTATTTAAACCTACCGAAAGAAAATAGATGGAGAATCCAAGCAAGTATAGCCAACGTTTCAGCAAACCGTATCAACGCTCAGGCTGTTGATTGAACCAAGCTCAAGGTGTTTTCTACTCCTTTCTACCACATGTTAGACAAGCTTTTGCCAGAGGGCTAAAGCCTGGGAAAGGGCGGGCAGGCAACATAGAGCTCTGTGGTTCTTTATCAGCTGTCAATTGTAAAATCGTTCTTGGCTCTATTTTCTGGCCACTAAGAGCAAGAACCCCAGCATACAGAGGCTGACCCCTGCGTGGAAGGTGGAGGCAGGGAAGGCCTGCACAGCAGCTCAAGGGAACTTTCTGGGGTGACGGGAATGTCGTATATCTTGACTGGGGTGGTGGTGACATGGATGAATATGACTGTGAAACTCATCCAGTAGTATAATTAAGATCTGGACATTTTATTGTATATAAATTTTATCTAAAATACTGCTTTAAAAAAGTATTTGAAAATTGCCTGGACTTACTGATTCAAAACGTCTCGCTCATTTAAAGAATTGGGCTTACAGGGGTGCCTGGGTGGCTCAAGTCGGTTGGGCCTTGGACTTCAGCTCAGGTCATGATCTCAAGGTCCGTGAGTTTGAGTCCCGCGTCGGGCTCTGTGCTGACAGCTTGGAGCCTGGAGCCTGCTTCGGGTTCTGTGTCTCCCTCTCTGCCTCTCCCCATCTCATGCTCTCTCTCTCAAAAATAAATAAAACTGGAAAAAAAACTTTAAAAATAAATAAAGAATTGCACTTACTGGGAGTCATTTTGTTGAGTGGAGGAGAAATTTTCCAGACTGAATGTATATGTTGAAAGTATAATTTTCAGGTTCAAATGCTGCACAGCTAAACAAATTTTCAGTTGGGCAGCTAGGACGTAACCAAACTTGTCAGAGAAATGGTGGTTAGTAACTTAAAATTGAGAATAAAAAAACTTTAGTGTAATACATGGCCAAAAGAGTTCCTGTTTCTGAATTTCAGCAGCTTGATCATTATGTGTACATGACTCTACCTTATTATGAATTATATTCTTTTTTTTTTTTTAATTTTTTTTTTCCGACGTTTTTTATTTATTTTTGGAACAGAGAGAGACAGAGCATGAACGGGGGAGGGGCAGAGAGGGAGGGAGACACAGAATGGGAAACAGGCTCCAGGCTCTGAGCCATCAGCCCAGAGCCCGACGCGGGGCTCGAACTCACGGACCGTGAGACCGTGACCCGGCTGAAGTCGGACGCTTAACCGACTGCGCCACCCAGGCGCCCCTGAATTATATTCTTAAAAAGCCCAAATTTAGGTGTTTACTTTTTGTAACCTTTATATTTGTTTTTCTTTAGTGCATTTGAGAAACTTATCATTTGAAAACAGAAACTTATCATTTGAAAGTAGTTTGATGTCTGAATTCAAAATCAGGGCATATTTTTCAGTGTCATTTTTTCAGGATATAAATCTAGGTAATAAGAACATGGCCCAGCAGTTCATTCAAATCCATGATGTTTGGTCTGGCTTTTCAAAGAGCATTTTCTCTATGTTAGTGCCACTGAAACTTTCCAACTGTGCACAGAAGTCACCCGGGGGGGATCTTGTTAAAATGTGGACTCTGATTCAGGAGGCCTGGGCGTGGCGGTGGGGGGAGGGGGCGGGCGGGGAGCTGAGACTGCTTCTCTTTCTTTAAAAAAAAAATTTTTTTTTAAACATTTATTCATTTTAGAGAGAGCACAAGTAGGGGAGGGGCAGAGAGAGAGGAAGACAGAATCCAAAGCAGGCTCCAGGCTGTGAGCTGTCAGCATAGAGCCCAATGTGGGGCTTGAACTCAGCAACTGCAAGATCATGACCTGAGCCGAAGTCGGATGTTTAACTGACTGAGCCACACAGGTGCCCCTAGACTTTGCTTTTCTTTTTTTTTTTTTTTTAATTTTTTTTTCAACGTTTTTATTTATTTTTGGGACAGAGAGAGACAGAGCATGAATGGGGGAGGGGCAGAGAGAGAGGGAGACACAGAATCGGAAACAGGCTCCAGGCTCCGAGCCATCAGCCCAGAGCCTGACGCAGGGCTCAAACTCACGGACCGCGAGATTGTGACCTGGCTGAAGTCGGACGCTTAACCGACTGCGCCACCCAGGCGCCCCTAGACTTTGCTTTTCTAACAAGCCCCTAAGTGATGCCTGTGCTGCTCTGTCACACTGAGTGGACCCTGCCGTTGATTTATTGATTTATCTCCAACCGCTAATCTCAATCAGTTAGGTTTTTGACAGAGCTGAATATAACAACAACAACAACAACAACAACAACAAGACAACTGACAATAAATGCGCAAGAGTTGATTCTCTTATGTGGAAGTCCAGAGATAGCTGCTCTAAGTAAACACAGCAGTGCCACGAAGTTATTAGGGATTTAGTTCTTAACTTTTTGCTTTACATCATCGGGGCACGTTCCATTCTTCACCCATGGTCCGAGTTGGCTCTGGAGCTCCTTTTTCCAGAAGGGAGAAGGCTGCAAAGAACTGCCTTTAAGCTGAGGCAGACTTTTGAGGGCAGCCTTCAGCTCTTCCCTTCCTCTCACCCCTTCCCCACCCGAAGGTCCACTTCCATTCAGCACTTTGCTTATAGGTGATTGATCAGAACTTAAGCACTTGCCAAACCTAGCTGCAAGGGAGTTTGGGAAATAACATCCTTTGGTTGAGTTCATGGCTGCCCAAGTAAAATCAGGATTCTTTTTTCACTGAGGAAGAAGAAATAGTTTGTGGCCACAAGCCATCTCTGCCACACAGCATAAATATTTTGTTCCCATGAATCTTGGTTGTAATTCCTGGTTATTAGACCCTGAATAACTCTTCCTCCTTACTATTTGCTTCTTTTGTAAATGTAGGCAATTATGTCTTTCTTTCTCTTTCTGGTGTGACAAGAAGCAACTACTGTTTTTCTATTGTATTTTCACTTTATTTTTTTAAAACATTTTTTGTTAAAGTTTATTTATTTATTTTGAAAGAGACAGCGCATGAGCAGGGGAGGGGCAGAGAGGGAAAGACAGAGAGTCCCAAGCAGGTTCCGCGTTGTAAGTGCAGAGCCTGATGGGGGGCTCAAACCCATGACACTTGGAGATCATGACCTGAACTGAAACCAAGAGTCATATGCTCAACTGACTGAGCCTCCCTGGTGCCCCTATTTTCATTTTAAATTGCTTCCTCTCTCATTGTGTGTGTATACATGTGCAATTTTTGTTGTTTTTAGCTATAATCGATAAACACACAAGATTTTTTTTTTTTTTTTGAGAGAGAGAGGGTGCGAGTGAGGGGCAGAGAGAGAGAGAGAGAGAGAGGGAGACAGAAGCGGGGCTCACTTAGATTGGGGCATGAGTTCTTCCATGTGGGACTCGAACTCAGGAAGCATGAGATCACAACCTGAGCTGAAGTCAGATGCTTAAAGACTGAGCCACCCAGGCGTGTCCCCCCCCACCCCCTACAAAATCTACAAATCGGGCATTCTGACAAAAGTGACAAAACTCTGGACTAAAAACATTCATTTAAACAGCAGCAGTCTGGGGCAGACATTATTCCTGATCTATTCTGGATTTCAAAACGTCCAAGCAGATGACCCTTTAATTTGATGGCTAAATACACATGGGAGACGAGATCTAACATTTCTAAGGTGTAGTTTCTTGAGTACGGATATTTGTCATCCACACTCCACTAAAGAGTGTTAAATTTAGAACAAATTAGATTGGTGTATAGGATAAGAAAATATCTGATTATCAGATCCTTAAAAAACAGCAGAGCCTGTTGTGATCCAGAAGCTCCATCTACGGGTTTGAGCAGCTCTTTGGAAGTGTCTTTTCTAAGCCGACGGCTCAGTTTGTTATCTTCCAGACTCATCCAGAAGAAGTGACTGTCAAGTGTCTATCCTTTCACAGGGTATTTGAAATAAAACAGTTCCACCAAACATGAAACAGAACAGGGGGATTAGCAGCATATACTGCGTTTTGGGGTTGTTTTCGGTATGCTTTTCACTGATAAAAATTTTCAGAATTTGGCATTGTGCAGGCACGCTTGGTGCTGAGTTTCTAAAGCTCACCAGGATTTGAATGAAAGCTGTAACGTGTGAGACAGAAAAATTAAAAATTAAACTGTGAGAATTGACAGAGATAAGGTTGTTACTTGCCACTGAGGTGGATCAGTTTTAGGGCAGTGTTGTTTTTTTTGTTTTTTTGTTTTTTTTAAATTTTTAAATGTTATTTAAATCCAAGTTAGTTAATTTATAGTGTCATAATGATTTCAGGAGTAGAACCCAGTGATTCATCACCTACCTATAAAACCCAGTGCTCATCCCAACAACATGCCCTCCTCTTAATCCCTGTCACCCATTTAGCCCATGCCCACCCGCCTCCCCTCCAGCAACCCTCAGTTTGTTCTCCGGATTTAAGAGTCTCTAATGGTTTGCCTCCCTCTCTCCTTATCTTACGTTTCCTTCTTCAGGGCACTATTTTTTTTTTTTTTTTTAAAGCTTCTCAGGTAAGATTTCCCTGTGAGGCTGTCGTAGGTACTTTACAGATAATTCTGGCAGTTCCCTCCCAGCTGGGGTGGTGTGGGACACTCACCCCGTGCAGAGGGGCTCTTCCTCAAGTTGACCTTGCAAGCTACCATACCTGGGAACGTATAGCTGCTTATTAAGATACCGTGCATTAGTTGGTTATACGTGTGAGACATAGATCGATCTGCATTTAGAACAAAAGAAGGAAAAAAAAAGAACACATAAAGACGTATCAATACAGGTCCTCAATCCATTACCGAAATACTTGGAGCTAGGTGTTCTTGGAATCCACCATTTGTCAGATTTTGGAAAGACAGTATGGGGCATATGCTAATTATTTCATAATCACCTAGGGGCTTGGGGCAGCAC